GAGTGCAGAGTGTAATGGGCATCGACCGCGCAAAGGTGTCCTGGTCCCCGCCGCACCTGCTGGGCCACCAGGGTAATGGCGCCTGGCAACAGTGGACCTTTCATCTGCAACTGACGCAAATGGATTCTGGGATCACTATAGACTTGTTAGTTTTTAGATGAAAGTTTTGAAAAAGTTACATTACAAACGTTACAAAACTGTATTATACTTAATTTCTTTTTTTGCAGTAAAAACATCAACGAATCCATGTATGTGGTAAAAGAATTAAAGCAAGACACGGAATATGTTATCAAAGTTGCGGCGGAGACAGAGTCGGGATCAGGTAGTTATCGCTTTGTTTTTATTCTGTTTCTCACATTTACCTGCGTCGGCATTCCGCATTGTAATTGGCATTTTATTTCAGGACCGTGGTCGTCAGAATTCGTTGGTAAAACGTTGGCCTCTACGCCGACAACATTGCACAGCACTTTGCTGTGGTCAGGGCCTGATGGTCTGCTGCAAACAGACTTGACTGGAGACAACTTGAAAACATTGATACACAGGTATAAAACGATTTTAGTTCATGGTGTGGTTTGTAAAATTGAAAAAAAAAGGTAATTTAAAAAAGCCATGTATTGTGAACTAAGCGTCATATTGTCTAAAAAAACTAAATACTAACAATGAATGTTAACTAGAATGTACTACCTAGCAGTAACATAGTTCTATGTCGGCGAAAACATGCATTTGTTTTTTGTTTGGCATGACGAGATCACTGTAAATGTAAATTTTAGTTTGTATTGTTATTTGAAGCTTTGCAAGTCGATTAAATTGATTAAAATATATCTATTGTATTTGTTTGTTAGTGGTAATTTGAAGAACTTGTATATAACGGACATATCGTGGTACCGCGACATGATCTACCTGGTGACGAACGCGTCCACCGTGATGTGGTACAACTGTACTTCTACTGAGCGTGGTTTGCTGCCCGCCCTCGACAACGTCGCCAGCCTCGCAGTCGACTGGGTCGGACATAAGATATATTGGTCCAATCCTAAGCAGCAGTTGGTGAGTACATGTCCACAACACATTGATATGACAGCCGTAATACTTACTTCTAATATCTGGCTGTATCTTTAATCAATCAGATATCAAACGCCCGGAACGTCAAATAATTTATTCTGTCTTTTGCGTATTTCATTTTGTAAATGTAACATGTAACTTATTTTGTATAGATTAGTCGTGGTAACTTCGACGGCAGCGGGCGCGAGCCGGTGCCCATTGTGACGGTGGCCAAAGAGCTAACCATCGACTCGCTAGCTGCCTACATCTACTGGAGCACTGGACACGCCGTCGAGGCCGCGCGACTCAACGGAGAAAACAAGATCATTTATTATCCTGCACAATTATTTAGTGGAAAACAAGGTGAGAAATGAAGGATAACTACTTTAACTTTACAATAAGTTTTTTTAATAACGTCCTCGTTGGAAACTATTTCACTAAATTTGCCGAGATTCCAATAAACATGAAAAATTCCCGAAGTAAAAATACAGGTTCAAACAACTCAAATAGTTCTTGGTGGAAATGGTAAAATTTTTCATTGTTAATAAAATATTAATTGATTTTTAGTAATGGGACTAACGGCGGACTTGGAGAAGAAATGGCTATACTGGTTGGTGAGAAGCTACGACGGTTCAGAGCTGCACCGAGCGCCGACCGCTGACAAAATAACTACAGGAATTAGCGAGGTCTGTGCATTTATGTGGCTTTTGTTCTTTACAATTAATTCTAAATGATGAGCTTATCCTCTGGTGATAAAATAATTCGTTTTAT